ATGCGATGGAAGCCTTTTCTGCAAGCACGCCACAAACGGAGTCGCTTGAGGTCTGCAAAAGCACATTTGGACAAACCAGCTTCATTTTGGAATAAGGTCCTGTGGACTGATGAAACAAAGATTGAGTTGTTTGGTCACAAAAAACAGGCGTTATGCATGGTGGCAAAAAAACACAGCGTTCCAAGAAAAACACTTGCTACCCACTTTGAAATTTGGTGGAGGTTCCATCATGCTTTGGGGCTGTGTGGCCAATGCCGGTACTGAGAATATTGTTAAAGTTGAGGGTCGCATGGATTCCACTCAATATCAACCGATTCTTGAGACTAATGTTCAAGAATCAGTTACGAAGTTGAAGCTACGCCGGGGATGGATATTTCAGCAAGACAATGATCCAAAACACCGCTCCAAATCTACTCAGGCATTCATGCAGAGGAACAATTACAATGTTCTGGAATGGCCATCCCAATCCCCAGACCTGAATATTATTGAACATCTGTGGGATGATTTGAAGCGGGCTGTCCATGCTCGGCGACCATCAAACTTAATTGAACTGGAATTGTTTTGCAAAGAAGAATGGTCAAAAATACCTTCATCCAGGAAAAGGAGGATCTACTAAATATCAATGTCACCTTTCTGCTGAGGCACCCATATTTTTGCACCTGTCAAATTTTATTTTAATGCATACTGCACATTTTCTTTTAGTCCAATAAACTTAATTTCAATACTGAAATATTACTGTGTCCATACGTTATTGGTTGTATCAAACTGAAATAGCTATTGCAAACATACAAATATTTAGAGATAAAATAGCGTTACCCAGACTTCTTCATATGACTGTGTATGCTGCATTCACAATTTCAGATGGTACTTCACTCAGCCGTAATTGGCGCCGAGGAGGTCTCGGCGCCAATTCATTCGAGTCATGATTCTCTCTCTCAGGTCAGCAGCTGTCTCGTTCAGCTCTGTTTTGCTCATTGGGGCCGTGTATCCCCTCACTGGGTGGGGACTTGTAGTTAACAGTTCTGACATCCAGGTTCCTCCTTTTTGCCGTAGCATTTGTGTTGTATCTTGTCAATCTCAAGTTTGCGGATGTTGGAACACTGAGCTACTAGTTTAGTGCTTAGTGTTGACTGGGGATGTTCTCTGTTCTGAGAGGGAAGTTAATTATGTGGTCCTCCAATAAGAAAAAAGAAAAACATTTAAAAGATCTCACTATCAAATTAAAATCTTTAGAAATACAGCACATGGAAAATAACAATGACCACACCCTATTACAGATAGGAGAAACAAGACAAGCTCTAAACTGTTTATACGTAGACCAGATTGAGAAAAAAGCTAAATTTATTCAACAGAATTACTATGAAAATGGACCCAAATCAAAAAAAATTCTCACCTGGAGAATACGTAAACAAAAAATTGACAGATTTATACAAAAATTAAAAATCCAACAGATAAAATTATATACCATTCCCTGAGACATGAAAAAAATCTTTTGAATTATACTACACTTACTTATACACACTGAGTAGATCCGTCCACTGTGAGAGCATTTCTTGCCTCACTGGACTTACGATAGGAAAAGATCAAAACAACAGGCTAACACAACAATAACACAACAAATAACCAAGGAAGAGATTAACGAAGCAATTTCAAAAATGAAAGGAAACAAGATGGCAGGTATAGACACTTTCGAAAACTATTTACTCCAATGCTTAAAAATTGCTTTAATGATGTACTCTCTTGGGGGGAAACACCACCATCTTGGAGAAGAGCGGTGATCTCAGTGATTCCTAAGTCGGATACAGCTAAAACAGAATGTGGTTCATACAGACCAATATCAGTTTTAAACATTGATTACAGGATATTTGCAACAATATTGGCTAAAAGGTTGAAATTTATAATCCCAGAAATTACACACACAGATCAGACTGGTTTTGTTCACAACTGGCAAACCCATGACAACATGAGGCGGGTTCTTCACCTCATTGATTGAAAGAAAAATACAGAATCGATAGCTGTCAGTTTAGATAAAGAAAAGTTGTTTGTCTCAGTGAGTTAGAACTATCTTTATTTGGTTTAGGAAAGATTCGGCTTTAATAATTAAATTATCGGTTGTTTTTGGTCTTTGTATGACTCGCCCTCTGCCAGGATTAAAATTAATGGGGATCTGTCAGATCAAATACAATTAGCAAGGGGCTGTCGCCAGGGGTGCCCCCTCAGCCACACACTGTTTGCGCTTTTTATTGAGCTTCTAGTGCAGGCTATTAGAGAACACAAGAATATTATGGGTGTGACCATTAAAGGCACAGTGAAAAAGATATGACAATGTGTTCGTTATGCTAACTAACCCGGAAGTCAGCCTACCTAATCTTCTTTCCCTACTAAAGACTTTCAGCACTTACTCTGAGTATATATAAATAAATAGAATCTACAGAAAACTAGTTCTCTCATCTAACTATCAACCGTAACCAAGAATTCAGAAAATGTCCAGGTTTAACTGACACAACAAATGTATAAAATATCTGAGAGTTAAAATTCCTCCAAAGTTACCCAACCTTACACAGAGATTAAGGCAGAGCTACAGCTTTGGTCTTTGTTACCCATGAACTTACATAATCGAATAGATATAATAAAAATGAACCTTTTACCAAAGATTCTTTATCTTTTTCAGGCTCTGCCTATAAGGGTACCTGACAATTCCGCAAATGGGATAGAATAATCTCAAACTTTATCTGGGTTAAACAAAAAATGAGTAACATTCTAAACATTACAACTATCAAGAGTAAGGAGTGGATGGGCTTTATCACATCCAGAGGACCATTATAGATCAGAAGTGAGTGTTAGTTGGTTGGTGTGATCCAACATGTGAAGCTAAATGGAAACAGATAGACCTGTCCTACAGTAACATACCTCTACAATCCCGGCTCGGAGATCATTTCCTTATAAAAAAACACATAGATTCTGACCTAATTTCCTTATGGCTTAAAGTACCATTGGACATATGGCATAAAATATTAAGGCAAGTAAAGATTGAAAGAAGTGCTCGAATTTTAAGATGGCCTTCTTATGAGAGATTTTCTCCCTTCAAGAATGGATAAGAGATTTACACAGTGGTCACAAAAAGGCATAACAAGTTACTGGAAGATGACAAGCAATAGTGAATTAAAATATTTTAAACAACTTCAAGATAACTATAACCTGGAAAAACATGACTTTTTTAAATATCTTCATCTAAGACATCACTATAATAAAAGTATAAAACTTTTGGAGGAGGGCGAGACAGGTATACTTAAAATCCTATTAGATTCAAGCAACCACAAAAATAATATCCAAACTGTGCTCATGTCTACACATGGAGAGAAAATGTAAGACAACAAATCTTAAGGTTAAATGGGAAAAAGAAGCCAAAATAACAATAACTGATGATGTTTGGTAAAATATATGCAATTCTGTGATTCACATGTCAAGTTCTGGCATGTGAAGGAATTTTTCTGGAAATGTATGACGCGTTTTTTTTTGTTACACCTAATAATAAAATTAAATGTTGTAACGATGCTGAAAGGGCAGAATGCTGGAGGAACTGAGGGAATGTGTCTGCAGGACATTTTTATGTTTTTCGGGAATGTATTAAGATCGCACCTTGTTGGTCGGAAGTAATAAAAGAAATCAATATTAAAATGGACTTAAATTTATGCTGTGATTTTACTATGGTTTTCCTGGGTAAGAACTGAAGATGTCTGATAGATATCTTCTGTTAATATTATTGTCAGCTGCAAAGAAAGCTATAACTTACAAGTGGCTTGATGTGGAACCACCATCATGTTTGGATTGGAAGGACATAATTGTGGAAATTCACCCAATTGAGAGACTGACCTTTTCATTAAGACTTGCCACTTATAAATATAACAGATACTGGAAGAAATGGAACATTCATGGGAGCCTTACACCAACTGTATGATTACCGTATTTTCCGGACTAAAGTAGCTAGTGAGCATAAGTTGCACCAGCCATAAAATGCATATTAAAGCAGGAAAAGACATATATAACTCGCACTGGAGTATAAGTCGCATTTTTGGGGGAAATTTATTTGATAAAATCCAACACCAACAACAGACATGGCATCTTGAAAGGCAATAAAAATAGAATGGAGGCAACAACAGGCTGAATAATTGTACAGTATGCTACGTCACTCCAAATCACTAAATCTTCATCTTCGGTGTTGCTTGTAAAAGACTCCACTAACTCACGAGGTAGCTTCTACCACACACATTATCAACACAGGCCTAGAGCGCCCTCTTGTGGATTAGAGTGAAAATAACGTGATATAATAATGTTTTAATAATTTCACAAATAAGTCTCTGCGGAGTAAAAGTCACACCCCCGGCCAAACTATGAAAAAAACTGCGACTTACAGTCCGGAAAATACAGTAATGGAATTGCCTTTTCTTTTCTGTTTTCGTTGAGTATCCCTCAAGTACTTCCTGTCAAACTGGTTGCGCTGTAATTTTTGTTGAAGGGGAGGTCTAACTGTTCAATGTATGCATGTGTAATTGGAAACTACTAAAATTATAAAAATAAAGTATATAAATGGGATGCAGGTAGGGAGTAGCTACATCTAAGCATGAATTGATATCTCAAGTTTAATAAATTTGAGACTTTAATGTATCCATTAGTCATTCTATCTTGCAAAGCAGGCCTGCGTAGATCATGAGGATTCTTTTCACACTGATAAATTAAAACAAAAATGGTCATGAATGCTTGTTTTGGCTCAAATTTTAAATCACATCGCGGCCCCAAAAGTCAGAATCAAATTGTGAGATAAGATTCCATTTCTACCCTTGTTGTTCAGGTGAATACAGTATACCAATTCATCCTACGTGACCCACAGGCACCTCAATAAACATGTATCCCACTTACTTGATGATCAATGACAAAGGAACGGCCACAGCAGAATCCTCCAATGGAGGCCACAGCATTCTCCATGTTAGCGCTGATCAGATCGATGTCATCAATCTGTGCAGAGCAAAAATGGGTCAGATTATTATTTTACTTCAGAATCAGTTTTATTCATCAAGTTATGTTTGTACATACAAACAAGGAATTTTACCTCAGATCACCTTTGCTCACAGACATTTGAAATACAAATATATCAAAGCAAACAAAATCTCCTATTTTTGTCTTCCGATAGGCTGGCAGACAGATTAAAAGAGGAAGACAAAGCTGAATTAGAACATTGCATTGATTTGAGCCCTGACTTTTCAATGTTCAAATAAAAGTTTTAACATTTTGTGTCCAGAATGTATGGGGTCTGCAAAGATTGTGGCTGCCATTTTCCTTGTCTTGGTCTTGTACTTGTGGTTAAAAAAAAAAAAAAAAAACTTGGAAATTTAGTATTATAATTGAGACTACTGACTACTACTTCTCATAAGACGAACACAATTTGGATTGCTGTGGATGAGAAAGTGTAAGAAGCACTTTGATTTGGTGTAATTGAACAGGTAACATTGACAAAAAAAACAAACGAACAAGATTGCAATACAAGTTTTTTAAAGCTATTTTGTTTTATTAGATACGAATATACTCACATTCACCCCAAAGTGTTCTGTGACACCTTTACCGTGTTCACCCAACACACCAAAAGACATGCTCTCCTCCAAAAAGATCCGCACCTTGTATCTATACTTGAGCTTGACCTGGGAAATTAGACAGATAGTAGAGATCATAAAAACATTCCTGGTGCCTCACGTGCTTTGACTACATTCTTTATGTTTAGTTGTTAGCAATAACACATAGAGGTACAATTCAGGCTATTAGTTGGATGGACAGAGTACAGCAGTATTTCAGTTGTAATGTCAGGCAAAACCTCAATAAGGAAGATTTGAGTGCAGTTTTTCTTTCCTTACACTTTTTATCTTACAAGAGCAAGGTTCGCCAAAAAAGTAGAACATATATTCTCGTCTTTAAAATTTTTATGAATACAAAACTGGCAAAATCTGGAGAGTTGTCTGCACCAATCTGAAGTTTGCTTCAATGTAATTGTAATTGCAGGATTTCTTATTTTTCTAATGTGCACTGCATTTTGGAGGGTTTAACATCTTCAAAAATTCACCAACTTCATCCAAAATTGTCCCAACTAAAATTTTTAGATAATATTGGAATCGCAAATGCGTGTGGCCAAACTGCTCTACAGTGCCCCCTAACATGAGATAGGACAACACATGGGATGCAGAGATCTGAAATATGGTACATAGGTACAGCGCTCCTAAATTAAGAAAAAAGTATCTTGGAAGTGCTCCGTAAAATGTACAGAGATGCAGCCTTTTTGGGTCCAAGGGCAAATTTTGCCCATTTATTACTTTTACAAATCTCGAACTTTAACAAACTCCTTCTAGAGAAGTTTGTTAACTGTCGAAGACAGGATGCCGGTCCTTGAGGGTCGGCGTCCTGTCCTTGGGATTCTAAGCTACTAACTTCATTTTGGGTCAGTTAAGGGATGGGGCATTAAAGAAAAAAAAAAAAAAAAACACAAAAAAAACCTGAGGTTTTGGATATGTTCAGCTGGCATGGCCAAGCAGCAAACTTAGCGTCCTCGCAAAAAAAAATGCTATAACTTCCACATAAAAAGGTAAATTGGCACCAAACGTGGCTTGAGCATAAGAACCAAGGGAACGAGTTGGAAGTGTCCCCTGCCCCAATATTGGAGACAGGTGCATTCATCCCACCCCATAATTTTACTGCAGTTGCGAAAATTTTTTAAATCTCCTACTTGCATGCTTTTATTTTGAAGGTGCAACACAGCGCCTTATGTTTTATTTTTTGGCTTCTGGGAGAAGCTTTTTACGATATAACCCTCTTTCTTTCAAACAACTTTTCAGCATTATGGAAGAGGAGGATACAGCGGTAACATGATAAAAACACAGGAAAAAGTTTGTTTTGGTATCTGGCAAAACAAGATGGTGCCAAGAGACGTAAACGTCCCACGCAGTGACGTCAAATCCAAAGTTCTATTAGCTTGATGAGAAATACCGTGGCAGACAGTATTTTGGAACTATCGGCAGATATGGACAAACAACTCAAACGCAAAACGGAGTCATTTCTGGCATTTTCTGTTGCAATTGATGAGAGTACTGATATTGCGGATGTCACTCAACTGGCCATATTTATTCGTGGAGTCGACGAGACGTTGACTGTCACAGAGATTCTAGAGTTGGTGCCCATGACCGACACCATGACATCTGAAGACATTTTCCGCTCCGTTGTTGGAGCGCCGGACCGAGTCGGGGTGGACCGGTCCCGCGCCGTAAGCCTGGCTACTGATGGTGCGCCGTCAATGATTGGGAAAAAGACAGGTGTTGAGACAAAGTTAAGAGAGAAAGTACAAGCTGCAAATAAAGGGGGGGGGGGAGTTTTGGACATTTCATTGTATTTTGCATCAGGAAGCATTATGCTGCAAGTCGTTAAAAATGAATCACGTCTTGGAGGCGGTTGACCAAACTATTAATCTCATCCAAACCAGACCTCTCAGCCTTCTCAGTGAATGCAAAATTGCCCATGGTCTACCATACCACACTGAAGTTAGATGGTTAAGCAGAAACGCTGTACTGAAGCGGTGCTTTGATCTACGTAGGGAAATTGGACAGTTCATGGAGAAAAAAGGTAAACCTGTTGAGGAATTACAATGCCCACTACAGGACCTTGCATTTATGTTTGATATCACAGGACACTTGAATAATCTGAACAAAATGTTGCAAGAACGCAAAAAAAATTGTAACACAGCATATGTGCATTCAAATTAAAGCTGACTTTATGTGAGACGCAGATGGGAAACAGAGACCTGCTCATTTTCCCTGTCTAAGAGATGTGTGCGCAACAAACGTGAACCGTGATGTAAAACGGTACAAAGATACAATTTCAAGGTTGCTGAGTGAGTTTGCGAAACAATTTCAGGTATTTAACAAACTGGAGACAGAATTCTCAGTTTTTCGCTCACCATTCAGTCAGAGCTTGTGATGTGCCCCTGAAATCAATAATTTCAGGTTGCGGAATTGAAGGACAAATTTGCATCAGTTGGCTTGGACACATTGTACAAGTGTCTCCTTGTATCCTAAATTATCAGCACTGGCTGCAAAAATGTTGTCCACGTTTGGGACTACCTGCCTTTGTGAGCAAATTTTCTCACTAATCAATAGAAATAAAAAAAAGCTGCACTCAAAGCTCACACATAAGCACTTAAATGAGACTGAAACTGGCTGCTGCTCAGGACATGATGCCTGATACTGATGCACTTTGTCCAGGCTAAAAGATACCAAGGCAAATACTGAGTAAAACCAAATCCTACGTTGTACTATTAAAAATTGTAGCTTTGAATATTTGCTGAATTAATTCTGTTAAAATTAGTGTTATTCAGTAACAGATTTGTTGTGCGAAATATTTTTCATGCATGCAATACATGTAATGTGTGTAAGTTTTTCTATATGTATACATTTTATTTCAGGAAAGGTGACCAATGTACTTAATCAAATGTCTGTTTAAAACACCTGACATTTAAGAAATGTGAAATTTGTTTAATATAAAAAGCAATGAGTCCACTTCCACTAGTTCTATTTAATATTGCAAGGAGTGAACTTGTGTGGCCCCTTGAGATCAGATTAAGCTGTATGTGGCCCCTAAACCAAAATGAGTTTAACACCCCTGCTCTAAATTAAACACACATTATCCAATTTGCACCTAACTTTTGATTGACCTTTGTTAATCTCTAAAGAGCCCAATAGCACTGAATTGTGATTCGACTCCTCCATCAGCTATATCAACTTAATACATCAACCAATCTGCATCAGATTTTTTGTGCACCATCAGAGAGCACTGCTGAACATGTAAATGTCTATCACCTACTGGACAGGTGCAGGAAGTGTGTGAGAATATTAAGGGTGGTGAGCGGGTGGCGATGGTGGGCATCTTGTGGTTGCTATAAGGCTGGAGCAGCGCTGAACTGCGAGGGCCTCCAATGCTACTTTCAGCTTTCATTCATTTTATTTGGAGAGAATGTTTATAAATGATGAAGTCTAAAATCGTTAAATAGTGTAGTTAACCTTCTGGTTCAAACACTTTGTCTGACTCCTCTTTTCCAGTGCTTTTTGTTTCTGTTTATACCACCAAACAGCTAACAGAGATGGTAAAGCATTCATAAACCCCACAGGCTGGTTAAAACAGTGTTTACAAATCAAACTGATATTATTAGAAGATGTTCATTCACACAGCTTTGTTTTTATATTTTAGTTAGCCAATTCAATCATACTGTCATACTGTCAGACAGTGCAAAAAGTAATGTCAATGATAAGTAAATATTTGTCAGGAGTCAGATTAAGAAACCTCTATACCAAACACACAAGCCTATTTTAACACAGGCTATAGGTCCAATAATGCATTCTGTTTGTTGAGCAACAAGACCTAGTTTTGTTCTCACAATAATTTCCATTTTACAAACTAATAGCAATAGATCTCAAACCAAGACTGAAAAAATTTTGTGGATCCTGTCAAAGGACCCTTCCCCATAATTCTGAAACAGCGTTTCATTTAGGGGTTTATTAAGATTATTTTACTTGAAATGTATTACTTGTCAACTTTACCAGCTCAGGGAGAGGACAAATATCTGCTGTATTGATGTACATTCCTTCAACCACAATGAACTTCCGCGTCACTCGAGCTTTCCGAGGGTTCTGCAACAAAAACATATTACAATTTTAACATTGTGAAGGCAAAAAACTAAAAACAGGTTTACATGTGTACATTCTGCAGCTCCAAAATTATTTGACAGCTGACAGCATAATATGACACTTAAAAGTTAGAATGAAACTACCTAAACTGGTACTAACCTTCTGGTCCTCCAACTCTTGCTCCTTTAGCAGCCTCTCCAGATCATCCATGTCATTGTGTTTGAAGAATTTGATGAAGCTGCGGGATGCCTGAAGGCCTTTCTGGATGGAGAAACAGGCAGCTTCATCCCTGGACACCAAAAACAAAACCACCAATATAAGAGTTTAAATTGAAATAATAAGCAACCCACATTCACATTTTAAATGTCTCTTGGAATTAAGTAAACATGACTCACACAAAGATCATGTCCCCTCTTTTGGAGTAGGCTGGAATCGCACTAGCCATAGTTGCAAAGCCATATGAATAGATAATGGCCTCCTCTGTTTTCATGAATTTGGCAAGACGATTCTCCAATTCTAAATGGACATCTGGGGAAAAGGGTGATATGGAACAAGAAGAACCAGGGAAGCCGAGAAAGGAACAACACTGAGTAAATCAGATCAGGAAAACTACTAAGTATATTTACAAGTGTTTGAAAAGGAACAAAATAAAAAGGATCGGACAATAATGCCAGTCTAATCATAAAAAGCACACTGCCACAGACATAGTGTACCCATTGTAAATCAAGAGATTCTAACACTAAATCAAATCAAATTTCTATAGCACATTTCAGCAGCAAGGTATTTCAAAGTGCTTTACATCATAAACACAAAGTCATGCATCATGGAATAAACAATACATTGTTCCATATTACATTTCAAATACAATTCTAAACAGGTGTGTTTTTAGTCGAGATTTAAAGGAAGTCAGTGTTTCTGCTGTTTTACAGTTTTCTGGAAGTTTGTTCCAAATTTTTGGTGCATAGATGCTGAAAGCTGCTTCTCCTCTCTTGGTTCTGGTTCTGGTTCTGGGGATGCAGAGCAGACCAGAACCAGAAGACCTGGTTCCACTAATCTGAAAATGAGCAGTATTGTTGGTATACAGAAATGTCTTGATGTAAAATGCAGCTGAACCTAGTTTTAGATCAGAAATTAAAAATGTTTCAGTTTTGTTCAGAAGAAATAACAAAATGCCCCATCAATACAGATAAAATATTTAATTATGGAACCGAAGTTGTGAAGTTCTCAGACATGGGCCTTGAAGATATTTTATACATTTGCTCAATTGATCTCTCAATCCTGAAGATTGAGAGATTATTACCTGTACTACTTTTGTCCATCAGGTAATTTGCAGAAAAATTATATCTAGTGCAGATTTTTTGTCTAATCATTAAAAATAATGGAAGCAATGGATATATACAGTTTCATTAGATATATTATTCATAATTCAGCTATGGCGGTAGCGCACATCTGTCATCCATCAGAGGAGACGTTGCTGTCTTATTCATGTGTTGGAGCAACAAGCCTCTTATATTTGGAAGTGCTTACATATGCAGCTTTTTGGGAAAATTGTAGTTGATGATTTTACAGAAAAACAATGGATTCGGCATGTTCCAAGGAGGCACAACGTTTTATGAACTGTGTGATGCTGAGAGAGCTCTGGAGGAGTCAGTGTCACATAGTTGGGGGAGGGAGACATAAAGAAGATTAGTCCATGTTGTCTTCTTCATGGCTTTCGCTAATATCTGGCTGATGGTCCCATGACTTGTGCACTTTCAATTGCCTTGTAAGAACTTTGAATTGCTTTGTTGCTGAAATTGTGCTATAAATAAAATTACCTTACCTTGTGTGATCCAAAAAAGTGGTTCTATTGCAGTATCTATTTTGATATGACTGAAAAGCACTGAAAACCATTTCTGATGCTTTTTAATTGAAAACAGCATAGTTATTTTTGTAGTTTCAAACTGTGTAGTTACTTCTCCAGAAAACTAAAGACAACAAGCAGCACTGTTCACTTACCAAAAGTTCCATAAAAGCCTCTTGGACCACATGTGCCAACACCGTATTTTTTTAGTGACATCAAAGCTTTTTCCTGTTATTCACAAACAAAACAATGAAAAATGATTAATTTCAAATCAAACTAATAAAAGTGAATAAAAAATATTTTAATTACCTTTACACGTTCATTGTCAAGGAGTCCCAAAAAGTTAAAAGAGGCAAAATTAATGCACTCCCTTCCATTGACTATGATTTTATGGCTGGGTGGTCTAAAAATTAAAAACAGGTCACATACGTAAGATACAGGCATTTTAAAATACAAACAACACACAGTACAAGAGTTTTTCAGACCTAAAAATGTTGTTGAATGTCAGTTCTCCTTTAATTTAGGGCTCTATATGCCTGAAAGCATGTGGAGCAGTAGCAGAAAGGTCATCGATAACCATTTGATTATCAATCAACCACCACCACCCCTATCACTGGAATTCACATCCTACAAGTTGGGAAAAAAGTTCAATTCTATGTGCAACATGATCTATCCTGACTGACACATATTGGAATATTTTTGGTCTAATTATGTGAAATTACAGAAGAAAGAAAAAGGATAATACATTGTTTTACCCTGAAACAATGTTGTATTTAAGGGAAGGATGGTCTTTTGAAATTAGAGGGACAAGAAGATCTGGCTGCCATTCTTCTATTAGGTCCTCTTTTTCCTGTAACAGAAATCCAGGTAATAACTGTTTGGAGGAGTACAACTTCAGAAACTTTAGGAATTGGCTTTTATTGTGCTATGCTCACCCTTTCTGTCAGTTTGTAAGTCTCATGAAGTTTGTAGGTCTTGGAGAATAAAAGTCTGATTATCCATAATATCAAGATGCCCTCCAGAATTAGGTGATATGCAGGAGCCTGGGGAAGACCAGCATAAAGATTTATTTAAGGCTGATAATCGATTCAAAGAATTAAAGTTTAGAAATCAGTAGATTCAGAAAACACAATATATAGTCAAAGAATCCTGAACAATGGAGCAAGAGCTTCCCTATTTTTAAAAGTGCATGTTAAATAGTTAAGTTTCTGAGTTTTAAAAATTTTATTTCAAATGTACAACAGACAGCAGGTTCCACCATGTAAAACACAATAAAACCAAAATGGAAAAGGTATGCCTGGAAAATTCGAGTCTGTCCTTTCTGCTTTCTAAGCAATGTAGCAGCCAGAAGCTAATCATCTTGATATAAATACATCCCAGACATATTTTATTCACCACAAAGCAAACCCAAATGAGCTGGGGGATATAAAAGGAACATTTACTTAGAATTTTGAGTTTAGACACAGACATGCATTTTGAGAATATTTCTGATATACTAGGGTCTTAGCTCACTTTTGTAGAAACAGTCAACAATGGAGTAAGTATCCTTTTGAATTTGTTTTGTTCCCAAGTAAATATATTTTAAGAAGGAAAGCAGCAGATCACACTGAGTTTTCTATAATTATTTAACTCCCCTGCGCCTCTCAGTGACACGGTTGCAAAAACACTTCACCAAGAATAGCTACATCAAAAAAGACTAAAGTAGAGATTAAAGCTGCAACCAGCATTGGCAGCCCTCACAGCTCAGCGCCGTTCCATGAGCTCAGCCTCTTGGTGACTGCCGACCGTGAGAGCTCCAGCAACGCCACCCACTCGCTGTCATCACTGATCTTGTGCAGTTCCCACACCAGTCCATTCCAGGGGTGTCAAACTGCAGTCATCAAGGGCCACTGCCCTGCAGTTTTTAAATGTGCCACAGCTGCAAAACACTGGAATGAAATGGCTTAATTACCTCCTTGAGTACACAAGCTCTCCAGAGCCTTGCTCATGACCTAATTATTCTATTCAGGAGATGCAGCAGAGGCACATCTAAAAGTTTAAGGGCAGTGGTCCTCTAGGCCTGGAGTTTGACACCTGTGTGATTAGGCAATGCACATTATTATCTGGGAGGCGCTGTGGAGGAATTAAGCCATACCTAATCTGTCCATTTTAGTGGACAGTTGATCATAATAATTTGTGACCTTACTGTACAGGCCAGTAAATAATGTCAGAGTTTAAAACAACTATTTTTTATAGTTCTACCAAAACTTCACTACAATCTGTGTGTATTCATATTAATATTTACCCTCAAAGAGCCAAGATCACACTGGTCACAGATTATGATGGCCAGTGTGATCCTGGCTATTTGAGGTTTAAGTTTTATTTTAAGTGTGACGTGACTGGAATGAAGAGGTGGCAGAAACCGTGTTAAAAATACCAGAGCACGTAAAGTCATTTCTCAATCGCGTAATAAATTAAGGGGTCGCAGTTGGTTTACATATTTTAAAGTCAGCATATAGGCATTCAGGACAATAGTCTGTCAGTTTTCAGAGTCAAATACAAAGTATATTTATATATATTTATGAAATAATATACATTAATACATTTTATTTTCTCCGTCAATGTGATGGTGATAAAGAAGCCGTGAAGTTTACAATCCCAGATTTATTAGTATTTACGCAGTTTACGTAAATGCTCTTCCCGCTGATATTCAAGACGTACCTGCGTTCTAACGCGCCCTGCGATGGGTCTCAGATACCCGTTTGTGCTTCCGCTCTCACGTTAGTTGCGTTCCCAGGTCTTACCGAAGATATACAGTTCCCTTCCCCGCTATTACTTTAGTCATAAAGTAATAGCGTTACACTAGCCTGTAGCGTTACACTTTGTTTTCCGGGGTACGAAGACTCAGGCCTACTCAGTTAACAAATTAGAAGGCGCCAAAATATTTTAAACTGGAAGATGCGAATTAAATATTATGAATCTGTATGCGGATTCCATAAATTCTACCCCATATGCTGTTTAAAAAGACAAACATTACCTCATAAAAAGCTTGTACCATTTCTACCAACACCCATTGCTGCCCGGAAGCCATATTCCGCTTCTGCTGATGTTTCTTCTTCCTTGGCAATAGGCATCATTGAGTTTCATTACTGCCACCCTCTGGTTCACAGTTATATTACAAACTCACCGACACAGACGCAATGATGATTTTGGCAAACCTGTAGTGTAGTCTCTAAGACTCCAGTTGTTGTTTTTGTAATTATTGCCCCCGAACAACAAAGCGCCACGAAGGCCTATTGTTTTCATACTGTATCTTCTTCTTGTTATTATTATTATTATTCTGCCCCCCTAACTAGGATACTTTTGGGAGCTTTATCATATTCAAAAACTCACCAAACTTGTATTTTAAGGACGTCGCAAAAATCACAAAAGAAATGGCGTCACTTAGCAATTTTCAAAGGACCCTTTGCTATTCCCTTACTTCATCGTACAGACAAGAAATTTGGTACACTTGTTGAGCTCCCCATGATGCTCAGAATTTACTATTAATGTCATAGTGCAAGTATCACAGGAAGTTGGCCATTTTGGATTGAAAGTCAGATTTTGACCCCATTTTTGCTGTTTACAGCCTTTGCATTTGATCGAGCTCCTCTTGGGGATTTTGACTTCAAACTTGGTCAGTCTGTTCATAAGGCATGTCCCATCTAAAGTTATTAAAACGGTGAGTTTTTGAGCATGTTGAAGGGGCGTTACCAGGGGTCAAAGTTCACCTATACTCGCCATGAAAAAATAAACTGTTATATATCCTACACACAAACTCACAGAGGCACCAAAGTTACAGTGATTGATCATCATCGGGTGCCCTACAATACCCAATGATCGAATGATGACATCACTTAGGCCTCGCCCCTTGAGAACAAGAAGTGGCATGTTTTACTGTGAACGGTCACTACTGGATATCTGTGCTCCGCGGAGAAAGGGGTGTGACGGCCCTGCTGTGCAGTCCTGTGTGTGTGTTTTGTGATAATTAAAACTATCAATTAAGGTCCTCAATGTGGGAGGCGCTTCCATTACAGACACCTGGATGGTATAAAGGGAGCACCGTTCCATTCATGGGTGTGGCTGACAGAAGCAAGCACGCGCAGACGACCCGGAGATCTCCATGCCAGGATGAGTTCCGGGCTTCCTGCTGTGAAGGGACCAGACTGAAGGGGCGCGGGTCGATCACCCTTTGGGCCGTCTATTGCTGTCTCCTAGACAACTTGATTCTTTTAAAAATAAATGCCTCTCACGGGTTTAACACTGACAAAACTGACTATGCTACATAAAAAATATAAGCCCGACCTAAACAAGGTTTACCCACTTAAATGAACTCTGCATAACTGAACATGAGTAACTCGGACAAAATCATAGCAAAACATTATGACACAACCCCAACAAAGCGAATTTAGGCACTCACCATGTCTGGAGAAAACTTGTAGATATCTTGGGATGTTGGAGAACATAATATCAGGAAGTCTCACCGCTGATACCCAGGCCATTCATCTCCTTTTCTTCAGCACCAATAGCTTAGCTTCCTTGCGTTGTTTACAGGCAGGAAAACAGTGGGAAAAAAAGTCCATTTTCCATCTATTTAGCGTTTCGGTCGTGTGAAAAGATATTACATTCAATAACGCAGCAAGTTCCAAGCATTGCTAAATAATTTGAAGTAACTGGGATTCAACAATTACAAACATCAGTGAGACAGTCGTTTTGTCGGTTATGTATATAGGCATATGAGCACCTCAGAAGATGGTGCTCATATCCCTTAGTCTAGAGTGACATCACGTTCCAAAGCTCTGGAAGACACCCCTCCCCAATAAGAATGACAGAAAACATGCTAACAAAATGTCTCAGACCTGGAGCCCATAGGCGGCTCTAGACACAGGCAAACAGAAATGGCTGTTTGGCTCAAATATATTAAATGATGACTAGATCTCTATGACCTTTGTTCACCTTTGAAGAGCCCAACAGCATTTAAATGTAATTTGACTCCACTGCGCTCCCTAGGTTAATCTATCAGCTATATGTCCTTGCAACAGGGGCTGATCTGCATGAGTTTTTTTGTGCGCATTCAGGGAGCACTGCCAATAGCATCAGTGTGCATCATGTGGCTGACTGGCGCCAGAACATTTGCGGGAGCTTCTGTGTTGTCAAGTAGGTGGCGGTGCTGGAAACTGCGCAAGACATTCTGTGGTGGCGGGCGGGCGGCGGTGCCGGAACCCCCTGGGTGGCCAATAGGACATAGGAGCGCTTAATAATTAAAGCTTGAAGCTTTCATTATTATTAATTAAATAATAATTAATTATATTATTATTATTAATATTATTAATTGTTATGAAGCTTTAATTAATAATAATTCAAGCTTGGAACTTTATTATTATTATTGAAACTTTATATAATAATTGAAAAACTTAAATAATTCTTAAGTAATTCTAAAATATTAACTGGGATGTCAAAGAAGTTGATATCTAACTTCTTAAATGTGTTTTTTTTTATTTTCCAATTTTCTGACCTCTATGAGCAGTAAATAATGTATAATTCTGTCTATTCAGCTTTACATCAATTAGATTAGACTAATCTTTATTCTTTGCCACAATAAAAAAGAAAACAAAATAAAAAATCTGACATTTTCTTAGAGCACATCTTTCAGGTATTGGAATTCTTTTGCTGTTTTTGAATACTTTTTAGATAGAAATTTCTAAATCTGGATGAACAGAAATCTATGGAACAATATCAGAAAATGAGGCGGCTAAGTAGAACTACCTACAAACCTGTACATTCAGGTCCTGTATTGCCCAGACAAACAGGAGAAGAAGTTTTGCAGAATTTCCAACTGTTTTTGCTGAATGAGACTGATTGTGTTCTTTTACAGAGGAGTGCTGAAACAGATAAATTAACTAAAAGGGCTTTAGAGGAGGCAATAACGATTACAATTTATTTTGGGGATGGGAAAGAAAATTCAGTTTTTATGGGTAAAGAAATAGAATTATGGTAAAAAAAAATTGGAATGAAAATAAAAAAAGGAGTTTATATCAAAATACAGTGTCAGTGACAAATATCAGTGAGAGAAACAGAAGGGAATAAATAATAATGATGAGATTAAGAATAGGTTATTGTCATGTTCTGTGTTCCTCGTTGTCCTGTCTTCCCCTTGATTGTTCCCAGGTGTGTCTTGTTTCCCTGATTACCCTCAGTGTATTTAGTCCCTCCTGTGTCCTCGGGTCCTCGTCGGGTCCTTGTCAGATTGTCAGTAGCTGTCTTTGTCAGTTGTCGTTTGCATGTCTGTTAAGCCGCCTGTATAACCAGTTGCTACTGGTGTTGAACCCTGCTTCTGCTCAGCCGTGCTGCCTGGCTGCGAGCTGTTTTTCTGTTTGTTGACTTTTGTTTTGGACTGTTTTTTCATTAAATTATTATTTTTCACCTTACCTGGGTCTCCAGTGTCTCCCTCACCATCTCTACACCACCACTTCATGACAGTTATACCTATCTAACAGACATTCTCTGTCTAATTGGGAGAAAAAGATGATAAATTTGAAGGAGGTGGAGAAAATTAAAAATGTAGAACATGAATCGATGAATATGAGCCTAAAAGGGAGAGATTGAGAAAAATGGTAAGGACAGAAAAAAAATGGAGTTTAAAATGTTTAGGAACAGAAGAAAAATACTGGATTTTTATAGATTAATTTCATTTATCAAAATACAAAATTTAAAAGTACAAATTAATGGATGTAGTGTTGCTACTCACTCATGTAGAGTAAGTGGTGGTAGGCACCTGAAGGTTGCTTGCGATCCACCATAATATAAAAGAAGAAGACCTAAGAGGAAAAAAGAACAAGAAATGTCGTGATATGATTACATCTACAAAATTTTGACGTCTTAAAACCTGAAAACCGTAAAAAAACAAACAAAAAAAACCCCCCAAAAAACAAAACAAAAGCAATATCTCTCCTCTGCACAGGTGTTATAAATGCCAGAGATATGGACACATCGCAGCAGCATGTAGGGGAAAACAAAGATGTCCAAAGTGTGAAGGAGAGCATAATTATGATGAATGTAAAAATGGAGAGGAAAATTGTTGTAACTGTGGAGGGCAACACAGGGTGACTTATGGAGGATGTGAGGTCAGAGGAAAAGCAATGGAAATTGAACAAGTTAAAGTCACTAATAATATAAGTTACGCAGAAGCTGCTAAAAGAGTGAAGCCAAAAGATGTGATAAGGAAAGTTCAGCTGAATCCAACACCAGAACAAAGACAGAGTGAAACTGAAACTGTTAACAGTTGAAAAGATTCTGCTGTTCATTGCTGATGCAATTAATTGTATAGATCAAATAAAGCACAAAACAGAGAAAATCCAAATGATTGTGAAAGGGGCAGAGAGGTTTTTTGGTATAGAGGACATATCTTGGGAGCACATAAATAAGAGTCTAGGGACAGAAGGACAGACAGGAGGACAGGAAGACAAAAACTGATCATCTTACAATGGAACTCTAGAAGCCTTATCGCAAATGGACAAGGATTTGCTAATTTAAAGAAGATCTAGATATTATATGTATTCAGGAAACTTGGCTTAAACCAAATCTTGATTTTGTTCTAAAATGATATGAAAGTGTTAGAAGAGACAGAGAGGGAGGATCTGGAAGAGGGTGTATAACATTCATAAAACAGAAAATTCAATTTAGACTATTGGCTAAAGGAAGAGAGTTAGAATATATTGTTACTGAAATTTGAACAGTAAATGGGCAATTTAAAATAATCAAGTTCTATAATCTCTCACCTGGAACACAGCTGGAGATAGGCACCAGCACCTCCCGACCCCGTGAGGGAGAAGGGTGACTGGAAAATAAATAAATAGATGGATGGATGGATGGATGGACGGACGGACGGACGGATGGATGGATGTTCTATAATCAATGTAAAAGACTTTCAATAAATTTAATGGAGGAACTTGGTGTTTATTTCGAGGGTAAAGTTATTTGGTGTGGGAACTTTAATGGCCGTAGCTCATTATGGAGTCATCATAATGATCAAAATTTGGTATGTCTAAATGATGGAAGTGGAACCAGAATTGA